ATCGTGTGTTCTTTTCAGTCAATAAGTTTCAAAAGTTTAAGTTTTAAGAATGATTCCGTATGAATAGCCTTAAGCGGGTATTCATTGTTTGGAATGAAGTGAAAGAAGAGATGAAAAGTGGGAAAACAGAATGAGATTCGGTCTTGGCTTCCAACTGTCAGTAAGTAAGTTGGAAGCATACACGAGGAAAGAAGCGAAGACCCCGAAGATAATGAGTACACAGGACATGTAGAGCCACATCTGAACCAAGCGCTTGTAGTCATACAGTGCCATAGCGAGCAGCGCAAAGCTTATCACAGCTAGCATCAAAACACATCCGATTCCATTCACCTACAAAAGTTCAACTTCGTGTAGTTGCTTTAATAAATTTCACTTGAAATTTCTTGCTAAAAAATTGAATATAAACATCTTAAAGACAGAGCGCCGAAAATGCGAAGATAGAATGCGCTACCACAGTTTCAGCTACTGTGAACCATATTGACAAGAAGTTGTTTTAGAAGCATTGTAAAGTAAGTTTTCAGAAATTTCTTTGCACGTTCCGACATCAGCAGGATGAATGCGAAAAAGGCGTTTGGGAAGATGAGCAAAAGCTCCGAATGCCTCAGCAAATCATTTATTTTTCAGCCTGCTTAGCACAAAATTTCCAATAAGCTGCTGGATCCGATAAATCACTTTCGCTTCTTTCCATGATAATCACTAAGAGGTGAATGATAGCAAAAATGCTCGCTTTCACTGCACCGACAGGTTGATAGAAGAAGAAATCAAATGCACCAGCAAAGTTATCATACTGTGAATTTTTTTTGACCAAATATAAGATTTTGAAGTTCTAACCATTCCATCGACGATTTCACTTCCGGTCGTACGGTTATGTCTCGGATCGAGCATATAATAGAAGACAGAATTGGAATCTGTTTTCGTTTCATACACACCAATCCAAATGATTAGCGTTAGCAGTATGTTGAGAGTGACCGGGACTAATAATCTCTCAACCTGAAAGAGATTTCAATTTCCTTTAAACATTTCTAGCAACATCTCAGTTGTAATTTCAGTTCATTTCAAGTATGGTCAGTTGCTCCGTCACTGACAATTGCAAATGACTGAGTGGGATGAGGTAGAAAGCACAACTTTAAAAATTCTGACCTCGATTTTTCACTGATTTGCGGAAATTCAAATACTTTTTAATTCACCGGGAAAGATGAAGGAGAAAATGAAAGTGAAGAAATTTGCGTGAGCTCAATGAAAAAATCACTTTGGTTAAATCAATTGATGAAATGAACACCTGTTTCAGCTGTTTTGTCCAGTACTCAATGGCCACCCACAGTTCTTGCTCATCCTTCCACATCAACTGATCTGTTGCTCTCTGTGACATAGTGCACAGCGTCCCCAGACAAAGAGGAGTAACGTTTGAAGGCGTGGAGGGATCAGTTCCAAATCATCCAATTCACTCTGATTTGGATCAATTCAAATTCTCCTCATTTCCAAATTTAATTTTTGTGAAAAGAGAAGAAATTTTGGTCGGATACACATAAGAGAAGGCCAAAAAGCTTCGAGATTGACGAATATTTCCATTGAATGGTGTGACAAAGAAAATAATCTTATTTTTCGGTTAACCTTTCTTGGCTGTTTTACACAAATAACCTCCTCTCCTTGACCCCTCATCTGTGTTCATCTCTCAATAAATATTTCGAGACTTAAAGAAGACTGGAGCGAGCAAAAATTACCAGCAGAAGACAGAGTCAACCGACCGCCAAACGCTTCCACAGCGAATGCAATAGTCATTCCTTCCTTTTAATTCCTTCATTTTGTGCAGAGAAGAAAGCTTTAGACAGCTGCATATTTTGATTTTCCACACTACTATTCTAGATAATTTGCATAAAAATTCACGCTAGCAATTTGCTTGCTGAGCGTTGTTATTACCACACAGGCCATTCTCCATATTTGGCACAGTTTGTCTTTGTAATAGTCCGATAATTATTTGATGAGCAAACTATCACGCTGGAACATTACCGAAGTAAAATCGAAATTAGGCGACGAATCATAAATATTGACTGATTCAGAAAGTCAAACTGTGTTAGGAGTATCTTTAGATTGTAACAAAGCATCATCATACTAACTTTCATTTTCGACAAAACAGGAATTCTACCTATATCGAGAAATTGTTGTAATGCATGAATTGCAAACTGATCATTAATCATTAATCCAAGAATGACTCATCTCATAATCTCCGTTCCTACAGCAAGTACCATATATTTCGTATCAAAACTTACTTCCTCCACCTCACGCCATACTTCACATAATTCACGTCATCATGCATATCTAATTTTTGATCACAACATTGCACCAACACTGCACATTTCTTCAATCTGTACATCCATCCCTCTTCAGTTTTGATATATTCCTCACTGTGAAGATACGCACGAATGTAACGTATAGCTATGATAGAGTGAGTATTTTTAAAGAGTTGAAAAACTTGTCACGGATGATGAGAGATCATTTGATAAATAGAAAATCAGAGAATGAATAGAATAAAATGTGCATGTCGCTATTGGTTTGGTGTGACGATAGTTTGAGGGAAGATTTATAAAAATGGTTGAAAAGCTAAATTTCGCTTTAATTTGAATACCAGTTTCTTGAAACTGATTCTGCTCTCGTTGAAGGTTCAGAAACGATGGTGATATGATAAGACAATTCGTATTGATTTACAGCAGGAAAAGAGTTTCAACTCCATCGATCCACAAAAATTCGTTGCACTGCCTAATGAGATAGAGATAGGCGAAGAAAGGAATGCCTTAGGGCATGCATCTAATTGGTTTCCTTTCTTTGTCAAACGCATTACTCAGATTTTCAGCGGATTGACCAGACATATTTTGTGTTGCAAATCCTAGTAGATGCTTAAAGAAGCATTGGAAATCTTCCAGTCCCTTCCTTTCTTCTAGACAAAAGCTGATTCTATGTTGTTCGAATAGCCACTCATCACTGAGAGATAATGATGACCTTTGACCTGTCATTGACACAATGGGTGTCGTTTCGTGGGAGTGCTAGTTGTGAATGGTTGTTAAGTGGTTAAGTGTGATTGCTTGCTTGCTCACTGCAATCATTGTTTAATGAATGCCTTCTTGCTTTCCTATCCATTGCTGAGTTACAAGGCAATTAGGATGCTTGCAGATGGTAATAGAACCGGAAGATGTAGGAAAAGGCGAAGGAACGGCTCCAATAAAAATGCCTGTAACTCTCGAGAAAGTCAGTCCCTATCCTATATACTAAAACCACCATCTCTCTCCAGTTTTGATACTGGACTGGCAAAAATGATTCCCGGTCTGCGAGCCCTGTTCAGTTAGCGATTGCATTTTAAGCCAAGTATACATCCAGCTAAGCAAAAGTCCCTGGGGTAGATGCACAAATGTTCCCCTCTGATTTCATAGTATGCACTGAGAGTAAGTGTCAATAACGAGGAAGAAGAGACAGAAGCGGTAAAGGACAAAGATGTTATTTATTAGGATCCTCAAATAGTGAAGAGGCCATGGAGCCAGCACAGATCTGGCTAACGAGCTCAGGAAGCTCTTTGTCGTGGAATGCAATTTATCCTCTCTCTCTCTCTCTATCTTTTTGATGATGTTGTAATTGTGTCGCGGCTGACTTTAACGGAACAATTGACTTCTCAGGAATGAATACTTTGGTTCAGAATGGCTCTGAAATGACTGCTTGTCTTCGAAGACTCTTTTAAAATGAATGCAGCGCTCCCTCAATTAGAATTAAAATAAGGTTATAATAAACTTTTATGCCAACTGAACAGAACGAAATGGAAGCCGAAGAATGGTTCGAAAGATGGAAATCCAACTTCTTAGGAGCTCTTTCTGATCTGTAGTGGTCACATTGCTGTAATTTGCAGTGCAGAAAAACTTTAATAAAGAGGAGTGTTGACATCATCAGAAAGCAGAATGCCTTTATGAGTGATTGCATATATGTCATAAACTTCGAGCATTGCTTTTGGCTGATTTGACTTCTTACGAGATTAGGAGTGGAGATAAAAGTTGGAAATGAAAATTCATTTATTTTCATTTGCGACATGTGTAGTGTAATGGATGGCGAAGTGAACCGACAAGGGTGCAATTGTGCTCGTTCACACGAGTGTTACCGCAGTTCTTGATTGGTGTGAAGATGTGTGTCACTCATCTCCTCTTGCAAGGGAGATGGAAAGTGATCGCCATCATCATAACACCACTAATTGTAATTAGCAACTGACTGAAAGGGTGCGGTGCCATTCAAAGATGCGTGCTGCCAGCAGGGACAGTGCTGCATTAAACATCACAATCAATTAGCAAAACGAGTTCCCAAGTGCTCATCATTATTACGGTCGATCGATGACACAGCGCAAGCTTAAACATGTATGTGTGTCTATGTACTGCAGGATTTCCAGCCGGCTACATAGTAACAAGGTTAAATTCTGAAGTTATGTACACACACCACTAATTCAGTAGATGGAAGAGAATGAATAGTGAACACTGTTTGGTGTGAAATTTTAAGAGCCTGAAATTGAACAGCACCTGCAACCGATACATGCTAACGAAATGATAGCAGCGATTGAATTCGAGATCGATCTGTTGGGGAACACGAATTGCCTGCCTGAAACAGCGGTTTTTGCTCACCGAAACACGACATTAATGATTCCTCCGAAATCTATGATGAATCACCCGCAACCAGGCTGAGCCATGTCAGGCATCTGATTCGAGAACACTAAATTTGAGAAGCATTCATTCCCACCATTGCGCACCTCCGTTTGTCATCGTCTCAATAAAGATAAAAATTTTTAATTTTGCAGTCTCATCATTATTACGAACACTTTTCCCTTCCGAAAGTTATTGATAAAGCAAGAAAACGAAGAATTTATTATCATCTACATTATTATCATTGATTATTATTAGTGATCTCTCTCTGCTGATGATTAATTTTATTATTTCTTCCTTTGCAAATTCTATTTGCATCCGATGTATGAATGCCATTCATCTCTCATTGTATTCTTCTTCTCAATCTCTTTGTTCGATCTGATCTGGACAGTTACACTTAACACTTCATTATTGAATAAAATAACTACAGGTACAATCACATAATCATTAATTATAAGAACCAATAATTACTCAATCATTTACTCGACAAGGAAAGGGAGGTATGCATGCATTGCTTAGCTAATCAGCACTGTGACTTTGACTTTCCCGCAGATTTCACTTTGCAGAAGGGCCAATTTTCCACTATGGAATTCTCCTCTGCACGCGTAATAATGTATGGCGTACTGATGAACTGGTGATTGATCGATGGTGACCCAATCAGAAAAGGACAGTCAGAAATAAAAAGCGGCCTAGAATGAGGAAATTTATGTTGCAGCTTTTGTAGATGAGTCCGATCGGTAATAAATTAAAGATTGCAATAATTTAAAACACTAATCTTTCTACATTTTCTTGCCATCACTCCCTGCCCACTTCCAATTTTTTCATCACTTTGGATGATGATAAAATGATTGCTGGCAGCATTTAAGAAAGATTACCGAAGTTATCCATTTCGGGAATAAATTACCGGGGAAGCTACTCGATCCGTCGATCGCGGGGAAATATTCCATCTACCCGAGGATTCAGGAATTGATTCTTCCTGAATGAGGTGAATATAAGTAGGAGTGGGAAGGAGATAACGAACATGACGACATATTATGCGGTATAGTAGTAAGCAGATAATGAGGAAGAAGTGCTAGTTTGAAGTGCTTCCAGAAATCCATACAATATCCTTATATTGTATCGTAGTTCGGATCAACCGCTCATTGTTCTTATCCCATCCCGTGACGTCAGTTGATATGAAGCAGAAGCAGTAATGCTACCTAAAACTACCCTTCGCGTGGAAGAACCAGCACATATGATGGTTCAATGAAGAGTGGATTCAGCGTGCTTCACTGCTTCTATCACTATTACTACTATCATTAGGAACTACAAATACCGTATCAGTATCAATTATTACACAATTATCACTTATTGACGACTTATCATTTTCCTTTGTTAAATTTCGCTCCACTGACTGCTCCCTACTTGCAGGAGGTGAAGAGAAGGTTTCTTGCTGTGAAGAGCTATCAAGTGCAGTTTCAACTGCATTCGCTGAACATGTTTCGTTAGTTTTCAGATTCAGAATTTCATCGATAAGCAGCTTGGAACGTTTGGGTGTTGTTGAAACGGACGATGAATTGCTTCTACAATCTACAGTCCGTTTTCTGTCAAGTGATATTTTAGCGCAGCTCAACGTTTCAGTCCTTCCTGCTTCATGCTGTCTGACGACACAACCTGGGTTCGGCTTAAGGTTTGGTTGTACCAACGTGGAAGAGATGTGCTTGGATAGTTGCTGCTGCAGACTTAACATGGCTGCGGGTTGGGCAAGAATTGGGTTCAGTACCGCTGCATTTAGAGATCGGTTCATAAGCAATCGTAACGGATCAAATTGTAACGGATCGAAGGCGCTTGCAACTCCAAACATTGTTGTAGAGGAGGCAGCTTCAATAGGATGCGGCAACAGCGGTTTCGCGGGCACCTTCGTCGCAGTCAGTGAGGTACATGCAGCTGAGTGTTGCGACGACTTCTCAGTACTGCCGCATTCTTCAGATGGAGTGGGTGAATCGGCAAGCAGAGAACCATCGAACATGTCTTCTTCCATCTCCGAATCCTCTGAATTATCCGACTCGGGACTTTTCTTTACACCGTTCATTTCGTTTGCTCTGAAATAATATCATACTGTTAGCTTTCCCTATAACTCATTGTGAATTTTACTATCACCAACATACTGTTGAACACATCCCATGCAGTAGAGTGTAGGGCATTTCGATAGTGCTCTTCCACTCCATATTACATCGAATGGACAGTAGCAAGAGTACCTGCTTACTTAAATTTCATTTCCCATCTAACTCTTGACGAAGTAAATGGCTCAGTGACCGAATCAATGCTAGTTATCTTCTGTTCCCCCATTCAAAGCAGATAGATAAATTAATCTCTGCATCCATCTATTATGTATTTATCGGCGAATTTTCCACCATATGATATAATTTGCTGTTAAAAGCCTCGAAAATAACTTCTTGTAAAAGCTTTCAAGTAAATCTAATTAGAAGAAATCTGCGGAGGAGGACGAAACGATAACGTGTGATAAGTTGATGTAGAATAACGCTCTCTTTGCCATCACCTACATTCTTTTCCACAAATGATAGGTTTGTCTTTGTCTTTTGATATTATACGGTCATTGACGCCGTAATTGGCTGAATATATGAGAGTGAGAAAGAGAGAGCGGAGAGGGAAGAGAAGAGAAGAGAAGAGATTTGTCAGTAATTTAACGGATCTTCAACTGTAAAAGAGGTTCTTTGTAGACATTTCTTAAGACCTTTTTCCTCACCTCTCTTTTATCTTCTCACCTCACCGCTACTGATGTCACCTTTGTCATTCTATCATCCACCACTAAAGAACGCTAACTCTGATTTTAATGCAAATGCGAATCAATATCCAAATGCAACGTATATCAACCACATGGCGCGTTAGATTAACCTGCAAAGTGCATGAAATGACACTTATAAAGTTTTTCGTTCATCTTTTTCTTCCTTTGCTCGAGAAATGAAAGATTGATGGAGGGATTATAACGAATATGGTAGAAACAAAATTTGTAACATTGTTTTTTCTCATTTCAACTTGCAGTCCCGTAAAGTTACCCTTAGCTAACCTTTTTTAAGCAACAAGCTTTAATTCTTTAGTTTCCTTCTTTCCTCCTTGGAGAAAACTTTGCTATATATGATATCGAATAGTACTGAAGTTAAGGATTATTGTACACCTACTATAGAGTCTATCACTTTTACTTCCTAAATTGCGAAATGACAAAAATATCGAGGAATTTTAGAATCTGTTTGCCAATACCGTAGGCAGTGGTCACATGTAGTGGGTTAGTGGGTATGCATGTAATTGATACGGTAATCGATATGTCCATTTGCAAAACGTGGATGGACAATTACTGGGAAAGAGAAAGAAGGAAGCATTTGATTGGCTCCCGATGAGATGCAAAGAACCGGAAGATCGTGATGCGAAGAAGATAAAGAAGATGGACTTGAAGTTTCTCAGTTGCACTGCAAAGTTTCATTTGAAAACAATGATACTTCATTTCTAAAGTGTTACTTTCTCTCCACAAAAGTTTATTCCTCTTGACAGATCGAAGATAGAAATAAGCTATGTTGAGTTAAACGGAATATACCCTTCATATTATATTAACTTGTAAAAAGAAATTTGAGAGGTGTCATTGTACATAGTTTATGGAAAAGGTAAAAAATAGGGGAAAGGAAGAGAGTGATAAATACATTCGTAGCGATGTGTGATAAGTGTTATCAGGATGTATTGCAGAGAAAGGTGTGATGTAGAAGAGGCGTGAGGATCCCGGAAATAGTCATCGAGGGGCCTTTGATGTCGGGTAATTCCACAGTTGTGATCATTTTAGTGACTTACTGCATCCAATCCTCGTCCGTCTTAATGCTCTAATGATAGCATCTTCTCGATTACCCTGTATTAAGGAGAAATGGAAGATGATGGAAGGGGAAGAGAGACAGATTATAGGAGCTTATGAATTGGCGTAAAGTAGCGTTCAAGGTTTTTGAGGTGCACTTTGGGGTGAGAAGTAGAAATGGAGGTAGGGGAAGAGAATGGAAGATGATGGGAGTGGAAAAGAGACAGGAGATGAAACCGGTTCCGAGGAGCGCTGTGGACCGAGGGGCGCGGATCTTCTTCAGAGCATTCTCAGTTGAGCAACACCCTCTCCCTGCTCCTGCAAGCAAGTTGACAATGCAAAGCATTTGTCATCGATCCGAGAGAGAGAATGAATGCTTCCTGGAAGTTTCAATTTGCGGTAATCAAGTTGATTCGATTTCATTTAGTTAGAATGAATCAGCCTTCTCTGCCGTCGTTAGTGAAAAAGGAAAATGTAATGCCTGAACAAGTGCTTCTCGACACCGATCAGAGAGGAAGAGAGAGTGAGTGAACAAAGCCTTTCTTGGCATACATTCTTCACAGCATCGACGAAAGGTATAATAGTAGATGATGGGATTTAAGTCATTCAGTCCTCTTGGCTTTAGCAAACAATACAGTAAAGTCATACCTTTCAGATAAGGATAACGAGAGCTTGTTAGTTGTAGCAAAGTGCCAAACTTAAATTGGTTGTATAAGAACGGGCAGTTTAAATTAATTGTAGGGGACAATTTTTCTTGCAGATTTTTGTTTGAAATTCGCAAAGCGACGAGTAATGTCAACGTAGTTCATGCACTGATAATAAAGATAATGACTGCATCAAGGCTATGAAGACTATTTTTAATAACTGAGATGACGATGACAAGGATTCTACCAATGCTTATGGCGACAGTAATGATGCTAATGTGGTACTATCAAAAATGAGCAGTCATAGCAGAAACTATTTTGTCAAAAAGAAAAAGCGGATTTAAGTGATGAAAAACATTGACCGGAAAGTGCAATTGGGATAATTATTCTTTGCAAAACTTCTTTCCTATTACAGATAGGCTTTCCATCAGCATACTTTCAAGCTGGATTCCAGCAAGTTAATCTTCTACTCAGACCTTTATCTCTTCAAGTACAAACATGAAGCAAAGAAACGGAGAAAAAGATCATCATTTTGCTTTTTCACTGATCTTAAGGCTTTAGTTCAACTTCCTTAGAGATCCTTTTCAAGCCCCTTCTGAAAATACATGGCAGTCATATTTTCAGGAACGAAATTCAAAGAACGAACTTGTTTTTGGCAGCAGCAGCTCGGTCACGCTGTCGTCGATTTTTGAACCAATTTCCGACTTGCATGGCAGTTAAACCCGTTTTTGATGCCAATTCTTTTTTTTTACTCGGATTCGGATACGGGTCTTGCAGATACCATTCCCGTAGTAGTGACCTGAAGTAGAAGGAAACAGTTTCACTTGAAAATCGAGATGAACAAAATTCTATATTAAAGCCTGCAAATAATTGATTGAGAGTGAGAGCTTGACAAGTCAACTCCCTCGCCAGAATTAGATACCAATGAAAACAAAGAATGAAACATCGAACCGAATACATCGAACTGCTAAAAATTCAAGGACTTTTAAAGTAAATTATTTCCTCGAAAAATCAATTTTCATTATTTCTCTTAAATTCAGTTCAAAAATGACCTTGTTCGTTCCTTAAAGCAATGAGTCTTCTGCTCGCCATCCCAAATTGTCCGCGGCATTGGGTATTTTTTTCTCACTCGATATTTATCCACCGGTCCCAACGGCCTTAAAATTGAAAACAGCAGATAAGCAGTATATAAGTATGTTGCTCCACATCATGTACTGCTTATGTGTTTTAGTGTGTTATTTTTGATGGAAATAACTTGCCAGGATGTTTTCTTTTTTTAGCAATTTTATAAAAGACTGAAAGCTTAATTTAATAAAAGGAAAAAGCTATTAATCAGTTAATATTGGATCAATTAATTTGTGGTCATATATTCATTCATTAGCAGATTACCGCACAATTGCAAAAAGAAGCGATTAGCAAAAAGCACAAAAGTTCACCTTCCTCTTAACTTCTCCGCCTCCTGGTAATGAGCTTCCTGCCACATCGCTTGCAGTTTGCTATGTGAGCCATTGGTGAATTTATGTGATTCGAGTATTCTGTACATCTCTTGGAAGTTCCCCATGTGGAAACATACCAAAGCTCTGGCACGAAGCACAGATTCATGGTTCCTCAGAACGGTTGTCACTTCATCAGTGTGCTGTTGGTGGGAGATGGACCATAAAAAACTGTAACCATTTCAGTGATATCATAAAAGGCAAAAAATGAATAATTATGACAAATTATCTCGACAGCTGTTCGTAATGTGGATAACTTACGCAGCTAGCCGCTCAATGTTGCCAGCGTCTTCAAGTTGCTCACAAATTTTTACAATCTGAAAAAATGGATTATTCGTAATGAATAGTTATCGGCTTCTTCTTTCCACTGCTTCAAGGTGATGAAATTGTACAGATGACCATTATTCAATTGAATTCCTACCATTCTTGATTGTAAGACGAAACTGCTCAGTAATTACTAATGGAAATGTTTTGCAATGTAGTGGGAACAGATGAATGGAGTGTTGCAGAGAGACTTTCACCTCGTCACATCGCATATTTACTACAATCTGAATGTATCTTGACCGAGGTTCAGTTCACTTAACGATTACGCTCATTATTAACACCAAACATTTGCGCCCTTAAATCTCTTCAATTTTCAGTTCAGGTCTTGAGATGAGCTGTCACCTATTAATGTCAATAAAAATTGAGACAAATGTTATTCAAGATTTTATTTTTCTATCTAGTACTTTAGGAAATAAGTATTTCATTTATAGGCTTTTTCAGCAGCCTCGCATCGACTTGGATCGGTCTAAAAGCGCACAAATTTTTGCAAAATGTTGACAAAAAGGACAAGATAAAAAGTTAGATGAAAAGCCTAAGGCATATTTGGAATTTTTGAGAGCCAGGGAATGCTATAAGTTACCAACTCTTCAAAAGCAATTTATTTAGTAGTCTTCTTTTAGAGATACTGGTGGAAGATACATGTCTGTTAGGGTATATGAAGAAGAAATTAAAAAATGATAGGAATGATATTGAACAGCCTGCTAATTGAGAGGGATGAAACGCTTAAATTTATTGATAATTAATAAGATGGGATAATGGCCATTAGTGCACATCGAGCCATCTATCCATATCCATGTATTCAGCAAAGAGCTGTTATATAATAAATAATAGGCTGGATCAAAGTATGCAGTTGCCACATATATTTTTGTGCATTCTAATTTCACTGCAAATGGAAGTTAGAGCAACCTACCTGTTCACCAGTGAAAGTCGACGTTTCAGGTTGTAGCATGGTACCAAATGCAAAGGGTCGTAACGACGGATATAAAGAATTTCCTTGAGGATAGCCCTAAATTTAAGCACTTTAAAGCTTATCAAAGTTCAAGCCAGTGGCTCTCATAGGCTAACTTATGTAATTTTGCAACAATTGATTGCTAGTATAATGTGTATGAAGAGGGACCTAATTTGTACAATGGCCTTTAGCTCAGTCAAGCTACAATCAAAGCAACTAACACAATGGCTCATAAACATTGTTAAAACTTTATCAATGATACTAATGCCGTTTGATATGCTTAGCGCTGAAATATAACGAGTAAATGATTTGATGTAGTTTTTAACAATAAATAAAATCTTCACCTTTAATTACTATTTTGGTCATATTGACTATAATCATCAGGTATGAAGGAAAAAAAGGTAGCGATATGTAGTGATAACGAGGTTTAATACTAGGATAATCATATATTTGTGTCATGGAGTTTAAGCTGAAGCTTCCGCATTAGGCTCATTAGCATTCCCGACACCTATCCATTTCATCTTTAAATACCAATCATTTCCATGGCTTATTATCGCTCTGACACATCGTGTGCAATTTATTATTCTCTAATTTCTCACTCAACGGTCGGAGTTTTTTTGCCATCCATCCCTGGAGCAATGATTATGCCTTCGGTTCGTATCATAAAAGTGAAATTAAGTTGAAAACCGCTGGCGATAATTGTGAAGATTAAATAACTAATTGGTAACCTTATTCGAATCACCATTAGCTACTACAACAATTACGGTTTCTACTGGTTACATTTGAAAGCAATCAAGTAGCAGTTATATGTGAAATGACCCATACTACTTAAATGATAACTACTGCTAGAAAAGACATGGTAAAAACATCGTTATTATGAGCCTAAACTCATGCCTTCCGTTCATCTTTTCTAGGACTTTCGAGAAAAGTATAAATCCATGCTGAGGAAAAGATTTCTAAGACCACTCTCAACATTCTTCTGCACAGTTCCGTAAAAGCCCTTAAGGTATGATATATTATTAACAATTGATAAAGTTCCCCCGATTCCCTCATCCTGACAGCTCTACCCGTGGATGAATTCTCGTTCATTTTACATGGACAGTTTGAGCTGAATGAAATTTCTGTGAATCAGAAATGCTTGCAAAATGATCAAACTGATGAGAGGACAGTTCGATAGTTGAAAATAAGCCTACCTGCATGGAATTTAGTGCCACATGCATCCATAACTTTTGCAATTGCTCCGCTCCGAGTAGTCCACTCATGTTATCACAGTAACAGTAACAGTAACAGCAACAGCAGCAGCAATAGCAATACAGTAACAAGACCAGTAATAGCCCGTAGGCCTGAGCGTCCTTCTAGCCAGTCACAGCACCACCGCCACGCCACCGTAATACCAATCAGCAGCAGCAGCAGTAACCGCAGCAGCAGCAGTAGGCCATCTGTCGTCAAGCTTCTATGTTACTATGTCTCTCTCCTCGTCCTTGTCTGTTCCTGTGTATGTTATTCTTTGTATGTCTGGCTATCTCTTTTTATCAACTCTCATCACTGAACAATAACCTCACATTGCCCGCCTTCATACTTCAAGGCGGAGTCTGCATCTCTGATTGGTTCATTATTGAACACTCTTGTTGTCTGTTTTTCTGTCTTTGTTCTTTTACTGTATGTTCTCTTCCCTTATCTTCTTGCCTCTCCCTTAGCTTGACTCTTCTATAGAGCTATCCATTTTTCTATCGTCACATATATATTGTGTAAGTGGATGCGTGGGTGGTTGACATTTAAGTCGATCTGATATTGTCAGGGAGATATTATACGACGGTTAAAGCATCTCATCGATTCCACTGATCTATTCAGTAGCACACGTACTGATACGGAAATATAGACGAGCAAATAAATGCAGAACTCACCTAAGCATGCATGTACAGAATGCAGGAAACATTTGTTAGCGTGAAAAGTATTTGTAATAATAGATGATTTTTTCGGATGATTTTACGGTGTTAAGAGTGTGGAATGGATAACATGGTGTTGCTTCTGTTGCATGCTTATCAACCTTCAGCATAGCAACGCATGCATCTATGAAAACACGTGTACACGCACACCTACATATGCACGTGAATAAGAAGCGTGCATTCACAATTATAAAGAGGAATATCAGACCGAAGTATAATGACTATCGAAGGAGACCAAGTCTGTGCGAATTGAAGATTGCAGAGGATGAGTTGAAAGTTAAACAAAAGAGTAGCTTAATGAAGCGGTACGGATGGAAGTGAAAAATGCGTGCACTTTAAGTAGCAGGTATTAAGTGATCCATCATCCATAATTCAACAGCATTATCTTTCCTGAGATGAAGAGAATTATTTAAGGGTAAGTAAGCAATCAAGATATAGTGCATAGTGAGGCCAAAATATAACTCTGTGGAAAGCTATCTTTTGTTAGCCGAATCCTCGGATTATTTTCTGTAACAGCAACGCTTCTTCACTATTATCCAGCTTCTCATAATAAGTTTCTTGTTGATAGATGAATTGATTTATAATTCTAGCTTGGCCAAGACAATTGGTCCACCCGTCATTAGAGAAGAGAAACTGCAAAAGACCATACAGCTATCAAAAAGTTAATGTTACCCAAGTGTGGACAGGTAATGATGATACACCTTGCTGTTCCAAGAATTCAAAATAGAAAGATTAAAAGAGAACGAGTGGCGACAAGATTGTTCTACTCGATTGAAGACACGGAGCGGAGTGTTATTGGCAGATGAAATGAAATGGTGGTCATAGAGGTTATCTATAATTGTAGGAATAATACATAATCCTTTCAGTGATTTGTTAACCAACAATGAAGTGAAGCATTGTGGAGAACTGTTCCTCCTAACACATGCCTCTTAATAGTTAGTTCGGTTCTTCGATCACGCCTTCCTATCTTTTCATATTTTAATCGCTCCACAGGACATCACTTCTCTCATTAAATTCAAAAAAGGAAAAGAATTGAAAAGTGATGCACTGCAATGAGAGTGCCACCTGTCCGCACTCTTCCCGTTCCATCATATCGCAATTTAGGAATTGATCTTTGACAGGAATACAAAGAGAAATGTCATAGTTATTTACGCGACATCCGGAATGTTCCTAATCACTCCAATTTACCTACTCTCAGGTATCATTATCTGATGGAATGGATCGAATGAGGAACATTAAGGGAAGAGAGAGAGTACGAGTATGAAGCAATAACCTAGCCGGGCCATCGTCCCTCTGTTGCTGCTCGTTTTATTCGATTAAAGAAGTTAATTTGTGATTGTGAAGAAAATGAATTATGTGGATGACAAATATTGCTTACTTCCATTTTGAATTCGATATGGCGCCGATGACAGCGATTGGATCCATCAGATAACGGATCGTCTCACCAAACTCTCACCTTATTATCTTTCAGTTTGGAGCAATGCGTCAGTAATGTCTTGTCTGTCCGCACTAATTGTCAACATATTGTGCATTTCTGCTCCCACTATGATTTTACATGTGTCATTGTCTCATAGAAGTCCGCATAGAACATGAACTGTTACCTGATCATCTCTTCTTCCTTCCCACTCCTCCTCCTCTTCTGCTCCTCTCCCTATCCCTTCCAACTTGAAATTTTCAATTGGTTGATGATAGATGAGATGACATGACATTAGGCAATAATTGATGCGGTAGCACTTTTGTCCATTTTGAGAGACGGGTTGCCGAGAGACGAGAAGTGGTACAGAATCGGATGGATCATCTTGTGGTAACGATTGCTCTGATAATGATGTCAACCGCGATGCCATATCGTTGTTGACTGAGAAGGTGTCATTAATAGTCTCGGCCATGCATAGGTGCATACACTGTTACTGTTAACTAACACAATTTTAATTTAAAATGCGCTGGAAAAAGAGAGCTTAAGCCCAGGCCCTGCCGAATTTCATCTATTTACATCTCATCCTTTGCTTCAATTTCCCTCTTTCCGTTACTAAAATCTCTGGAACTATATGTATCTGTAGAAACGTAACAAATTGAACTCAAGGACAATGTCGGGAAATTTTCATCCAGTCAGGACTTGGATGAGAAGAGCTCCATCTTTCCCATGCTACCTTTAACTCTCATTCATTCTCGAAATCATTGTAGCGTATAGATAGATAATGGACCGGAAAATAACTTGACATGAAGTGTCTGTGTGTGTGTGTGTGTGTGTGTGTGTGTGTATTTGTTGTGTACGTTGATATGAATCGATTGGCAAAAATTCATTACACTGAACTTTGTTGAATTGGTTGGTAACATTATCAAATTGAATTGATCCAATCACCGTTTTGTGTAATTATCAGTGTTATACAGTAAAGAAAGCAAAGACACCCATACACAAACACACAAACACACACTCTTATCATCATAATGATATGAAAGAACGGAAGAAAAGTCATGCTAACTGGAATATGAATAAAATTATTGTGGTTACCATCTGCATAGCTCCTTCTCACTCGCTACTGTACTTTGGAAATGTCTTTCTTTTGGATAGGAACGGACTTAATGGAGTTGGATTGATAGCTAAATTGATTAATTTTTTCCAAATGGGATAATTTCGAAATGAAAAGTGACAAAGCACAGTTGGCCAAGTGATGATGAGAAAGAAAGAGGGAAAAGGGATGAGTCAGGATGCGTCACTGATTCATAAGTGGTAGTTGTCATTCCTAGTGGGGGGTACGTATGCGTGGATGGCCTGAACGAGGACGATTAACTGAAGTGGCTTAAAATAAGTAGCAGTAGCAGTAGAAGCAGCAGTAGTAATAAGTGGTTGTAACATCCAAAGTAAACAATAATCAGACATAATCATCTTCCTAACATACTACACTACTCAGGTAAACAAATGCAACGAGCAGGTAGATTTCGTTTCACTCTTTCTCTTCCTGAACCATGCTATTTCTTCTCCCATCAGTCCTGTCCGGACAGGAAGGAGCATCTTTTGGCAACAAATTGCGTAATCATAAGCAGCAACAAACAGTATCCGGTGATGCTATTATCTCATGTGACCACAGGTTGCAAGCTAAGGGAATGTATTATAGGAAGATCGATCTGAGCGCTTTATGACAGTCATCTCTGTGCTTCCATTCGCAGAGTGGAAGAATATCTTGGGAGAGAAATCCAGGAAACTGATTGATAAGTCGATAGATGTGTGTAATTAGCATATCCAATCGAATCCGATAATAGCAAGTGTCATGATGAATTGAGAACAAATCGCTCCAACAAATTATCCTCACAAAGGTCATTTAATTAATAGTGTGCTTTGCCTGTTGGACATATGCTACCTACCTGCCTCTTTTGCCTTCCTCTGTTCAGAGAGATCACATGCCTCGGGCAGGATAGAGAGGTATGCATGAGTGTTGGTAACAAACAGATCCAATCCAATGGACACTGTTGAAGTGTAGTTAATCAGAACATCTGTTAGAAGAGAGAAACAATAGATTGCTCCTTAAATGGTTGAATTAATCCCATGTGCATATACATATCCATCCATCTATTATTATTATTATTATTATTACTGCTATTACCATTATTATTGTTATTACCGTTTCCTTATCACGGACCGACAACACGACAATATGAACAAAGTTCATTCCTTTCTTTCTCTCCCATTTGCAACGGCTTCCGGACATTTAAAGCTGAATTTTGCAAGGAATGGATGTAAATGCGGTGCTCTATTTTCGCAGTAGGGGTCAATGCACCTACCGGTATTCGAACGCTAACATATGGCCAATGGTCAGTCATCTCGATACCGACTAAATTAGATGGCGGGCGAAACGCCAGTAATCTTGCCATTACTACTATTAACAATACAATGCTCCTCTAATGTCCAGTTAAAATTTCTAAGAGTCTGTTTAAAATAGAGTTAAGAGACTCGTAAGAAATTGACCCAATAATAATGATGACGATTTGATAACACAACAGACATCTTTCTTCCAACCGTTCATTTCCTCCTATAACAAAAGTTTCGGTGCCTGCTAGTGATTTATTGGGTAGTGGTTGAGATGATTTCTGATAACAGTCCTGTTTAAAATCGTGGTCCCGAACACTTACTACTTCATCGCTAATTCTTTGAGCGATATTTGTAATGACAACACTCTAATAGGCGTTGCCATTACAAATATCTTCTCCCGTGATACCTCCGGTTGCCCGGTTGAGTGGAGTTGATAATTTGCACTGGAAATTGCTCTGAACAGTGAAAATTGATTTTTTAAGGTTTAATAGGAAATTGAAAGAGTTAATAATATATCTGCCAGAGTGGGAGGGAGAGAGACAGATGATAGAGAAGAGGTATATCACAGGTGGAAAACGCACTCACGCATCATCTTCCTATATCATCACAAATAGGATTAGGTGTGCTGTGATAATAATTGAGCAAGAGGTGACAACTTGTTGACGACGATTTTAGTCTCGCTGTCAACAACAAATCTCAATAACAGAGGTCAAAATGACGGCTAATCGTTCGCTACTTGCAATATGATGAATTATAATTTCAAGATGAGCATAGTTCACTTTTGCCTTCACTTACAAGTCGAGTTAGTTATAAATTGATGGCAGTTGTCAATTTGCACCTTGAAGGGCATCTAATACTACTTACTTCTCCTCCCAGAAGTTGGTTTCTTCGCATTCAAGAACATTTATATCAACAATAAGATATGACCTCTTCCATCCCCCTTGGTCTATTAACACGATTACGGTATATCGAACTCATTTCCCGTGTTTTCCTTCTTTTGAATACTATTTCCCTGGTACTCTATCAAAAAGAACAATTAAACGGTATCGTCGGCGAATTCCTTCTTCTCATCATAGTGGTGGTAATGCGAAACGCGTTAATGGATTGCTGGTTTTGTTGAAAGAGCGGTAATGTACTACTACACCCCTATATTATGTCGCGTTAGTGAGGCATGTAACTGTTTGTGTGGGGGGACATGTCACATGTCATCCACCAATAAAGGAAGACATTTATGTGACACTTTCTGTTGCTTCTCCGGTCAAGCAAACTAGCTTGCATGTATGTGTGGGAGAAGTGCCAAACTGACTAAACTGAACCCGTTCATAACAGAAACCATTCCTTCGAGCACATCCATAACTCAGTTTGCTCAACATCTCGATGATGATCAGGTGAAAAGGTTGCTGCCACCGACTGATATTTGGAAACTGATCAAGGATCTTTTCCCTTCTTTTAAAGAAGTAACTAATTGAGGCCATTTATTTGGTTGACATTCCATCATCGTTTCTCTCTCTGCTCCTCTTTCCACTTGCCTTTTAGCGATAATTCCAAGATAATACATTAAGATGGATAGTCAGCGCTGCTTGTTCTTCTTCATCCGTTCGCCCTTAATATGCAGTGCCGGATAATTACTGCATAATCAATTGCTGCTTAAATTAAATGCAAGTCTAACAAGTTCGAGGAATCCTTTCTATTTACCTTGGCTTGCAATGGAAAAGATACGTAGAGAAGTGAAAAGGGCGAGATATGCGGGTCATGATGAAGTGGGCAAGAGATGATAGCACGGAATATTGACTATTGTGCGCCCATAAATACTGATTACTACCCGAAACACTTCCCAGAGCAGGTCTGTTCGGAAGTTGCCTGCTGTGATCAACAATCAGTTGTGGTAGTAGTAGCAATAGCGGTAACATTACCAGTAGTAACAGTTGCAGAGTAGTAGCCACTCCCCATCAATACTGCAATTCTTTTTAGCTTTTCTGTTGGGCAAAGGGGGCTTGTCTACGGAAATAAATGAACTGTTAAACAGGTACAAGCTTTTCACTGAAACCAGTTGAAATTTGCTAAAGGAACTGCACTTAATCATGAAACTCTAAAATTTTTTTATAAATATTCCAGAATATATGCGATTCTCGCAGCTGCTAATTTTGATCAAATGATGCTACATTATCAGTAAGGAAAGCGAAACAAATAAAAGGACTCTCAGTGATACTTTTTAACAGATTTTATAAATGATCTCGCAGTGTAAATCGTTGATATTGGATATTATCTTGTCGATCTTGCAACCAATCTCGGAAAACACTGGGCTTGTTATTATTTGGATCACTTAATTAAATGCTGAATGCTACACTATGTCTAATGCACCTTAGCTCATTACTTGACCCCACCGATCATTTCATATGCTAATCTTCCTGCATCCACAACTCTTCTCCGTATTTCTCATCACAATGCGTAGGTAAACATTTGAAAACAATTAAAAGATGGAAAAACAAATTCATATAGTAATTACAGCAAACCGAGACCTCAACAATTATGCCATCTTCGTAGTATCTCCCCCCCCCCCTCTCTATCTCTCTCCTCTTCTTCTGTCTTTCTTATATCAACAATTACGCAGTATTCATAAATTATGAAAAATTGAGTGTATTTGAGGGTAATCGTTTTTAAATTCCGCCGAGAACCGTTGGTTGGTTTCGATATTAAGAAAATGGGACGGGAAGAGCACTTACCGAGCTTGCATTTCATTCGAAACCAAGCTTCTAATTGGAATGTCCATTATTAGCCTTCTGTTATCATCACCTTTATCATCCAAGTACAATAATGTCAAAGTCCGCTAATTCCACCCATGGTCAGTGGAGGGAATAATGAAACGAAATCTGTGTGGAGAGCACTTCCAGGGGATTACTCTTTCCTTTCCCGATCCTTAGCTAATATCATGTAATTGCTGCATAAACACCGCCTGTTAAGCTTATTATGGTAATGGCTGGCCAATGATAATATAGCAGACAATAATGTCGGAATTATTGACAGATGTTAATGTGTGTTAGTGACTAATGAAAAGATTGCTCGCTCTATGTGGCATTTATGGGAACTAACATTGACAACTTACTGAAATTTCGAAGGAAGAAAGACTGGACGCTACCCCCGTCTCTTTTCAGTAGCAATTAGTTGTTATCTGAGAAAGATGATTAGCAAAGAAGTTTCGAGATGGATTTAGAAAGGTATGCAAGATCATAGGTCATTATGGGCATGCATCCTTTCTGATGCAATAGAATGCAGGGATGAATGGGGATGGAAGTAAGCGGAATTGTTGCTGGCGAAGCTAACTGGCAAGAGAGGAGAGGTCACTGAGCAGGTAATTATTGAAATGAAACGATGAGTTGAGAACGATGTCAATACACACCTAAAGCACCGTTGATAGTAATTGTAAGCTGAAGATCAAACAAACGGGAGGATCATCATCTGTCCACTGTCAACATTGTCACTGCTCCCTTTCTCTTCTGAAGCACTGCCAGTTAACAATGTTCAATGATCGGATCAAGTGATAACGAACGAGACTTGTCAGTTTGCCTCTTGAAGTGATGGGTGCAGTTGGGAAACTTATTCAAAAGTACTTCAGTAAAAAAGTAGACAACGATGATTGCTTCCAGCATCGAGCAGTTCAATTGTCCTTGATTGGCTCACAACCCAATAATTACAGCTCGTTACGTAAAAGAAATTTGAAACCTTCGGATATAAGCACATGCAGAAATCCATGTATTTTCAAGTGTTCCCATACCGGAAGTCCGATAATCACTCCTTGGGAAGTCCGTTTTTGCGGTAATATGATCGTCTTGTTGGGAGGATAAGTTAATCTGTCTCTCCTCAGGTGACCATTATTTGGTTATGGATAACGATGGATGAATTCCTCTGTAGCACTGCAACTGTAACAAAACTTCTACGGTCTACATGTGTAGAGACAAGTTGATAAATCGCCCGCCAAGGTTACAAGCATCATTTTGTGCAAACTTTATATGCAGATCTTTTAAAAAGTCTGTTAATACTTTAGTCATTACTCAATATTTCAAGCTTTCAAGCTTACCAAAGTATTCCCTGTGACTGAACTTATCGCTTCTCGGCTCTTACAAAAAGATTCGGTTGGGAAGTGTGTATCAAGTAAGTAAATGAAATGAGAGGGAAGGAAAAAGAAAGAATAGCAAAGCATCCCACTCATGTGATACTTAAGATATACGGTCATGCTCTCTTTGCATAGCCGCCAACTGGTGGTGACAGTTACCTGAAGAGTGGGCCATTTGTGTAGATGTCTTTTCAGGAGTAAATGATTAGAGAACTTTGCTCTTCCATCCAACACTGATTTGAGCGACTAACACAATAATGACACCAATGCAACTGAGAGGTTCAGGTCTTTCTTAAAAAGATCACCTCACCTATTCATCCATTTATTAGGAACTTTGCCACTGTATAACTTTCTCAATTTCTTATAACTGAGAGATCTGTTCACTTTGAAAATATGAATCATTTCAAATTAAGTCATCCTAGCACCGTATCCCAAGACCCCCGCAGGAGATCAGGTAAGAGTTTCACTGTGGGGTGTCTCCAAAGTTCACAATACTCCTATAAGTTTACGCTTTACTGTTCTATGGGAATTCTATTCTGATCTGGGAAAGAAAAGAAAAAGTCTTACACCTGCAAGTTGAATGTTCTGCTCATCGGCTACACAAAACAAAACCGCTACCACAAGTAGCCCTTCCCTCCCTGTGGGTATCTTCGCTCAATACTACGATACTACTTTGACATATTGAAGTTCATATTCAGTCCCATCCATCCCTTTATAATTCTAGCTTTATAAATAATCATAGTTATTGTATTATTTGATGATAACAATGTGTCGCCGCTTCTTTCGTCTCTCTCTGAATTATTTCCCACATTAATGTTAGCATTAACTAATCATGAAATCCCCAGTACCACGGGAGTTGAGCTTCATTTCAAATAAAATCAGCAATGAGTAATGAAGTGTGTCACGTAGATTTCTTTGCGTACGGAGGTATTGAATGAGTAGTAACAGCATTTGAGAGTGGTAAAGTTAGATGGGAGGAGGTTAGTGTGAATGGATCGAGATGGATGTGTTTCTTTCTAATGAGGCATTTTGGTAGAATATCCGAGTCGTAGGCTATTGGATAAAGCCAAGTATATAAGCCAACTCAATTCCTCAGCCTCAACATTGATCATTCCCCCGAAAGGAAGCAGACAGAAACAGACATACAAACACAACCAAACTGACATCCACAATCCTGCGAATAATATTTACTTATATATTCATACCGTATCCATACACCGCAAATCTAAGAAGTCTCTCTGGCTCCTACTTGTCATGCGAATCCTTAAGTAGCTCAGTCAGCCAAATAATACAAATATGTGTACAGATTGATTTCCGTGCGAGATTGCCCATCAACAATCCTTCCATAAGCTAGGATGGATGAGTAACAGGAAAGAGGGCATTAGGTCTAGATAGGCTCTCGCCCTACTTAGCTGGCCCCAGGCCCTATCAAAAATTATAGAGGGAGCCTCTTGGGAATTTCATTACATAAGACAGAAACTTATACTTGGTGGCACCACTTCAATGTTTTCAATTAGAAAAAGGTTCTATCACTTACATGTGTCCTCCTAGACAAGGCCAAAAAACTGTTCAAATAAGAAAAGAAGCATGTTAAATGATGCCATTCGTTCCGAGAGTAGGAATGTAACGAAAGAATGATATTCGGATTGGTAACCTTTCCAAAAGAAAGAAGCAAAGTGCGTCCGGAAAGGACAGTCTGCATAACTATTTCCTGTGCGCGGCACTTTGCTTACTTGGCCAGTCACCTCGTCTCCTATCCATTTGTTCAGGTTTTCAGGGCGACATTGCATTATTGGTTATGAACTGTGGCATGATGGTGAAAGAGGCATCTTCGCCTGCCCGGGGCTAATTTGCATAGCGCAATCGAATGAGCATAATAATAATGTGCAATGAATGGGCCAGTGATGCCAAGGAAAGGCTTTTTCCTGGGCCATTCGCAAGCATGAGCATATGGGCTGGCTGTGTAAATTGAGGCCTTCAAACAATTACTTGCTGGCCTCAATTCAATCTGTAAATACATAATGTAAGTGATTTTGATAATCTATTATTTGCTATTTGCTCCCTGTGAATAGCATCTTAATATCCGAAGAGGCGGAAGGAACGAGAGGGAAGCAAACGACAGATGCCGATGAATTGTTGGCAAGGACGAAGACATGGATTCAATCCATTTCAATAAGCAGCACTTTCCATCTCATCAATTGTAAGTAGAACCAACCATTATCATAATCGTCGTCATCCAACGAATGAGGGAGGAAGAATAAGACGGGGACTATTCAGAATGAAAGGGAAGACATTTCATCACTTCTAAACCAAAACAATCAACCGAGAGTCTTGAATAAGATTGCTTTCAATTAATGGGGGTCGCCCAGAAATATTCGCATCCATTGCGACTGTTTTTTCCATGCTCAAATGTCACTTATTTCCTCTCAAAAACCATCTTCGCACGTCTTGTTCTTCAGAATTAATCAATTACTGATCTGATCAAGTACTCGTGTAACTGCAGGATCTTCGAACTACTCTTCATATTCAAATTATCATTCCTTCGCGTAGTTTCTGTTCGAGGAATTCACAAATTTGTTATTAACTTCTCCTCTCCCAAGTATTCCCTTATCATTCAACAATAATTTCATTGCGTCATAGAAAACCATCACAGGAAACGAAATCTGCATATTTGAATTCATAAAAATCACATAATAACAATAATAAGTTAGACTTAAAATTAATAGTGGACGAGAGTTGCTGCAGTCGGGTGGCTGCGGAAAATATGCGCGATTACGTCAGCGTCTTAACCATTGTGATTATGACATGCATCGGTTTAGGTAAATTTATTGAAAGTAAAATTCCAAACATACGTTGCCAGGTCGCCTTTCAATTTTTCGTCAGATGAAAGTAAAAATGATCGGCCTTTTTCCAGCTAATTTGGCATTTCTCTTCAATCTGGATGTGATATTCAAAAAAAAGATTTATAGCCGTAATTATACCAATGTTATGCTTATGCGCTTGTCTTACTCGATTCTGTTACGTTGCCTGTCAACAAAAAGAACCAGAGAAGAAAAAATGCTCAAGAAGGAGATACCAAGGTTTCTTCTTGTTAATTAGACCGCACGAGCGTTAACTTTCATTGAGTACGCTTGAACCTGCAAGATGCCTCGAAGGAGAGCATCACTTCTTGCAAACAATACTCTCTCAGAACTGAAACCAACATTTCGTTGCATTTCTGCATTGTGGTACACGCAAGGAGCATTCTGTTGTTGCGTGAAGCTGAGTAGGTTTTGGAACTTCAAGCAAGGTAGCTGTTTCTCACGCACGCCTTTCAATGCAGTGGAGAATAGAGAACCGAAAAGTGGCACGTCACAGCATCCCGTGACTGACTCGACGACAGTCGTCAATGTGTCCAGAAATGAACGACAGATTACAAAGGGACAAGTATGTCTTTCGTTACTACCACAGTTCACTGTTATCGTTGGAAGTATTGCTTCAAGTACTCTGAAATACTGCTTGACAACATCAGTCTTATGATATGTCATTCCAGTTAGACGGATCACAAAGTGGAAGAGAATTGAAGAGCAGAGATATGTCAGTGACCGGTTCCACACCTGAGCAGAGCAGGCACTTATAACTCACATCACCCTCTTTCCAAGTTTAGATGCTTTCTGGACATCATCAAGCTTAATAGTGACCGTGTCATTTCTGGCTATACCTTTTTTGATAGTTCAATGGAGTTACTGTGACAAACAGTAGTTCTTTCGTCAATATAGCAAACATGTTCAGAGTTGAAATTCCTCTTGCAGAGTAATACATTGCTTCTTTCCACTCAATCATTTTTGCGGCATTTTTACAGACTGATGTATAGGACAGAAATAAATTTGGAGAGAAATGTTTTCGATCCCATACCACCCATCGCAGAAATTAAAGTGTAGCAGTGAAAATTGAAGAATTGCATAGTAAGGAAGAAAGATTTCCAGTAGTAACCAATACTGCTTATAGAGACCGACTGTCAGTATTCTGAAAATATTTCGGATGTGAGAACTG